GAGATTAGGTCTCGCCAAGTTGCCCAGGTGGGTCTCGAACCCGCGGGCTCAGGCAATCCACTCACCACAGCCTCACAAAGTGCGGGATGACAGGCTGAGCCATCGAGCCCGGCTTTTATTATTATTATTATTTATTTATTTTTGAGTCAGAGTCTCACTCTGTTGCCCAGGTTGGAGTGCAGTGACATGTTCACGGCCACCGCAGCCTTGACCTGCTAGACTCAGGAGATTCTTCTTCCTTAGCCTTCCAAATAGCTGGAACTACAAGCATGCGCCACCACGCTCAGCTAATTTTTTGATTTATTGTGCAGATGAGGTCTTGCCAAATTGCCCAGGCTAGTCTCGAACCCCTGGGCTCAGGCAGTCCTGTCACCTCAGCCTCCCAAAGCGCTGGGATTACAGGCGTGATCCACCATGCCTGGTTATTTTTTTTTTAAGATTAGAAAGTATAGTTTATTTAGGAAGTAAGTTAGAGACAGAGTAAGAGGAGATTCCTCTCCCCAGGGTAGGAGAGGAGGCCAAAGCCAGGAAACATGCCGGTGGCCACATCTTCAAGAGAGCATGGCCACACCAGTCTAGTAAGGGAATGGCCGCAATGACCTAGTAGTGGTGGCACCTGGCTATTATTATTATTTTTGAGTTAGAGTGTCATTCTGTTGCCCAGGCTGGAATGCAGTAGTGGTAGGATCACGGCCCACCACCACCACAGCATCAACCTTCTGGGTTCAGGTGATCCTTCTGACAGCCTTCTGAGTAGATGAGACTACAGGTGTGTGCTACCACACCCATCTAATTTTTCAATTTTTGTATAGATGAGGTCTCACTATGTTGCCCAGGCTGGTCTTGAACTCCTGGGCTCAAGCAGTCCTCCCCCTTTGATTTCCCAAAGTGCAGGCATGAGCTACTGCACCTGGCCTAAACCTACTTTTTTACCTACAGAAATTTATTTTGAAAGGAAATTTTGTCCAGGTGCGGTGGTTCACTTCTGTAATCCCAGCACTTTGGGAGGCAGAGGCAAGAGGATTGCTTGAGCCCAGGGGTTTGGGACCAACCTGAGCAACTTGGGAAGACCTCATCTCCACAGTAAATTTTTAAAAAAATTAGGCAGGCATGGTGCCTCGCACCTATAGTTCCAGGTACTTGGAGGGCTGAGGTAGAAGGATCGCTTGCACTTAAAAGGTTGAGGCTGCAGTGACCAAGAGCGTGCCACTGCCCTCCAACCCGGGTGACAGAGTGACACTCCAATTCCCAAAAAAGGGCAACTGTATAAGTCTATTACATATAGAAGTTGAGAATCTCTTCTTTTAAATATGAGGCAAAAAGCCTTATCAAGGTTGATTCAGTATATTTGTTGCATCTAGCTAGCTACTGTTGCTTGCTGAAGACTTTAAGCCTGGAGCCCTATTTTTTTTTAAGTGGAGAGCTAAAACTATAAATCTCTTAGAATAAAGGAGTAAATCTTCACGACCTTGGATCAGGCAAAGCCTTATTAGATATGACATCAAAAGCACAAGCTACAAAAAGAAAAATGATAAATTGGACTTCAACATTAAAAACTAGTGCTTCAAAGGACACAGCGAAGAAAGTGAGAAGATAAGCCACAGAATGGGAGAAAATATTTGCAAATCATTTATCTGATAAAGGGCTAATACCTAGACTATAGTAAGTACTCTTAAAACTCAGTAAGGGCAGTCCCCTTGGGTCCCCTCCCACTGTAGGAACTTTTCTGTCCTCTCAATAAATCTTATTTTTAAAAGAAACTCCATAAAAAGATAAATAACCCAATTAAAAGATAGACAGGATCAGAATAGACATTTCTCCAAAGAAGCTATGGGCTATAAAAATGGTCAGTTTCATGTTATAACATACACGTGCACAGCAGCCCCTTCTGGCACATGGTCAGCACCCAGAGGAAGACACTGAACAGTATTAGCTATTCGGAATTGCAGATCAAAACCACAGTGGAATACCACTGCCCACCTACTGGGATGGCTATAATCAAAAAGCCTGGTAATTACAAATGTTCTGAGGATGTGAGGAAATTAGAACCCTTATCCATGACTGGTGGGAATATAAAATGGTGCAGCTGCTGTGGAAAACAGTTTGACAGTTTCTCAAAAGGTTAAACATGGAGTCACGATAGGTCCCAGCAATTTTGTTCCCAGGTGTACACCTGAGAGGACTGAAAAACATATGTTCATACAAGAGCTTGTTTTTGTTTTTTTGAGTTGGAGTCTCACTGTCGCCCAGGCTGGAGTGCAGTGGCACACTCATGGCCATTGCATCCTCAACCCGCAGGGCTCAGGCGATCCTTCCACCTCAGCCTTCCAAGTAGCTGGAACTACAGGCACGCACCACCATGCTCAGCTAATTTTTTGATTTATTGTAGAGATGAGGTCTCAAGTTGCCAAGGCTGGTCTCGAACCCGCATGCTCAGGCAATCCTCTCACCTTGGCCTCCCAAAGTGCTGGGATTATAGGTGTGAGCCATTGTGCCTGGCCTGGCTAATTTCTTTTGTTTTTTTTTGGTTTGGAGTCTCACTCTGTTGCCCAGGCTGGAGTGCAGTGGCATGCTTATGGCTACCATGGCCTTGACCTGGTGGGCTTAGGCAGTCCTTCTACCTCAGCCATCCAAATAGCTGGAACCACAGGCACGTACCACCATGCCTGGCTAATTTTTGATTTATTGTAGATATGAGGTCTCACCATGTTGCCCAGGCTGATCTCGAACCCATGGGCTCAGGTAATCCGCTCACTCACCTCCTCCTCCTAAAGTGCTGGGCTGACGTGTAAGCTACCACACCTGACTCATATAAAAGGTTGTATACAAATGTTTACGACAGAATTGTCCATTACAACCAAGAAGTAGAAACAGCTTTTTGGCTGAGGCAGAAGGATCACCTGAGCCCAGCAGGTGGAGGCTGCCATGGCTGTGAGCATGCTACTGCACTCCAGCCTGGACAATAGCATGAGACTCTGACTCAAAAAGAAAAAAAAAAAGAGACCTGAACAGAATCCTTCCTCTCAGGTCCCAGGTACACTGGACAGCTTGTCGCTGGAATTGTTACAGCCTCCACCTGTTATTTCCTGAGTATAAGAGATTCCTAGGATTGCCATAAAAAAATGACCAAAAATTGGTGGCTTAAAAAGAACAGGAATTTATTCTCCTAGTTTCAGAGACTGGAGGTCTGAAATCAAGGTGTCAGCAGGGTTGGCTCCTTGCGGAGGCTCTGAGGAAACATTGTCCCAGGCCTCTCTCCCAGCCTCTGGCCGTGGCTGGCAGTCCTGGGCTTGGAGCTGTATGACTGGAACCTCTGCCTCCATGTCCACATGGCCTTCTGCCTGTGTCTCTGGGTCCCTAATCTCCCTCTGCCCTTTTTGTTTGAGTCAGAGTCTCACTCTGTTGCTCAGACTAGAATGTAGTGGCATGCTCATGGCCACCGCAGCCTTCACCTGCTGGGCTCAGGTGATCCTCCCGCCTCAGCCCTCTGGAAGTACAGGCGGGCGCCACCACGCCCAGTGAATTTTTCTTGATTTATTGTAGAGATGAGGTCTCACCAAGTTGCCCGGGCTGATCTCGAACTCTTGGGCTCAGGCAATGCTCTCATCTTGGCCTCCCAAAGTGCTGGGATTACAGGCTTGAGCCACTGCACCCGGCCTCTCTGACGTTTTATAAGGACACCAGTCCCTGGGTGATCTCATCTTGAGATCCTTAATTACATCTGCAAAGACCTGTTTCCAGATAATGTCACATTTACAGGTCCTTGGGGTTAGGACACGGATGTGTGTTTTTTTTTCTTTCTTTTTTATTTTGAGTTGGAGTCTCACTCTGTCACCCAGACTGGAGTGCAGTAGCCACTCCCGGCCACTGCAGCCTCGACCTGCTGGGCTCCAGTGATCCTTCAGCCTTAGCCTTCCAAGTAGCTGGAACTACAGGCGTGCGCTACCACGCCCGGCTAATTTTTGATTTATTGTAGAGATGAGTTCTGGCCAAGTTGCCCAGGTGGGTCTTGAACCCTAGGGCTCAGGCAGTCCACTCACCTCAGCCTCCCAAAGGCTAGGGATTACAGGCTGAGCCACCGAGCCCGGCTGGATGTGTGTTTTTTTAAGGCCACTGTTCAGCCCCCTACGTCATGTTTCTCTGTGCTCGGCACTGTGCTAAGCTGCCCGTGTAGGTCAGCTCATTAGTTCTTGCAACAGTAGGAAGGGAGGTGAGTGCTGCTGTTTCCATTTCATAATTGAGGCAGCTGAGGCTTGGAGAGGAGAAGGTCTTGGTCAGGAACGCTCAGCTTGTTCATGGCAGAGCTGAGATTCATATCAAGGTCTAGCCAAGCACAGAGCCCCTGCCCCAAACCATGTGACACGTTGCGTTGCCTTTGTGCATTGTCCTCTGACATATGTCTTTAGAATGCTAAGGGAATACATTCCCACAGTCAAAAATGCACACTGCAAGAGGACAGAAAGCGAGAGTCTCTCTCCCTCCCCTCCCCACCAGGCCCCCAGTTCCTCTCCCCGGAGGAAACCGACGATATCAACGTGTCCTTCAGGGAGGAAGAGCGTCTTGGAGAAAGCTTTCAGATCTTTTTATGTTCAGAAGAATCACCACCCTGTCACTCCCCCCCCCAGCTTCCAAGGCCACCAGCCAGGTGGCAACCGCCGGGGGAAGGAGGATCTGGAGGAGAGGAGAAAGAGCCTGGCCTTGGGGCCGATGCTCGAGGAGTCTTGGTTTTATTATCTGCACTGTTCTAACTTCAAAAAGAGGAGGATGCATTCATGCATTACTTGTGTTACTAAAAATTACTTAAAAACATAGAGCCCACCTGAGGCGGTAGTTGTGAGGACACGGGTAAAGCACCTGGTCTGTCCAGTAGGTAGCAGTTGTCATCACTGTCACCTTTATTATGGCTTGGAAGGAAGAGGGTCAGGGGAAAGGCGTCTTGAGGATGTTATACCCGTGAGATCTTTTAACCACGTTTCTTCCCTCCAGCAAAAAGGAGTTGGGATGAGCGAGCCGCTAGTGGACTGTGAGGGCTACCCCCGCTCCGATGTCGACCTGTACCAAGTCCGCACCGCCAGGCACAACATCATCTGTGAGTGGCCCTCGCGGGGACTTGCCCCACCTTGTGGTGGGGAATGGTAAAGGCACGCAGATGAAATCGCCCATGTTGAATATCGTCTGCTGCCCTCTCTTCTGCCGTATCTTATTGTCCCCATCGAGGCACTGAGAATGAAGAGAATCGGTTGGAACAGAACGTTCTGTACTTTGAATTTCATCTTTTCACTGTGTTTTTAAGAACATTACTTCACTGCGGAAACTTGACTGAAATAACGGAGACCCAAGTCCAATATTGCTTCTCATCTGTATCAAATCCATCATGTGTTTGTTAGGGAAAAGGTTTTGGCCAGGCACAGTGGCTCATGCCTGTAATCCCAGCACTTTGGGAGGCCGAGGCGAGAGGTTTGCCTGAGCCCAGGGGTTCAAGACCAGCCTGGGCAACTTGATTAGACCTTATCTCTACAATAAATCAAGGAAAATTACCTGGCCATGGTAGCGTGTGCTTGTAGTTCCAGCTACTTGGAAGGCTGAGACAGAAGGATCACCTGAGTCTAGCAGGTTATGGCTGTGGTGGCTGTGAGCATGCCACTGCCTCCAGCCTGGGCAAGAGTGAAACTCCTACTCAAAAAATAAAAAAAAGAAGGAAAGAGGTTCTGCTGTTCACAGAAATTTCCTGACTATGGCCACTCAAACATTAAAGACACAAAGTGTCTCTCAGTAGGGACATTTGGAGGTAGGTGGCGCAGGTCTGGTCAGCAGATACCCAGACTCTGCCTCTACCTTCAGGGTCACTGGTCCATGTCCCAGGCAGGAAGAGAAGAAAGGAAGAACGTTGGAAGGGTGAAGGTGCTGCACTAGCAGGCGCCTCTACTAAAGACTCTTTTCTCAAGTCCACCCCAGACCCCTGCGCCAGTTTCCGCTTTCCTCCTAGGCCCCTCTGTCTGCATGGAACCATGGGAGGTGTGCTCCACTATGAGTGTGCTGTTCTCCTAAAGAAAATATTTATTTATTTATTTTGAGTTGGAGTCTCACTCTGTCACCCAGACTGGAATGCAGTGGCCGCTCCCGGTCACCGCAGCCTTGACCTGCTGGGCTCCAGTGATCCTTCTACCTCAGCTTTCCAAGTAGCTGGAACTACAGGCGCGCGGTACCACGCCCGGCTAGTTTTTGATTTATTGTAGAGATGAGGTCTTGCCAAGTTGCCCA